TAAGCTACAAAACATCAGTTTGAAAAGACCTTTAGAAGCGATATTGTCTATGGAGAATATGAAATTTGAAACCTTACTTTGGAGGATAAAGAAACGAATTCTTTCACTTTGGATAGGACGAGAGAGCGTGTCAGACTCTTACTGACTAAAACTCAACTTATTTCTTCTCCTGTTCCAGGCCAGGCCACGGTACATAATTGCGCTTGCATTCAGAGCTCCAGCTGATCATTGGCCTTAGTAGCCCTTATTTTGAAAATCTTAAGGTATCTTTGTACCGAAAAATAGGAAAATAGGGATTTACTCTCGAGAATGAATTGGGAAAAAATCAACCAGTTTCGTGTTACAACGGGTATTATAATAGGTAATATTATATTCATGAGTAGTGTTTTTTTTTTGAGGGGAAAATCATCAAATGACTTCTGCCGCCCAGGGTGGCGCGGCAGGGAGTGTCAGAGTCTTACTGACAAAAAAACCCCGTTCCTGTTTCCGCTCTAGGCCGGGGTCGCGGTGCCTCATTGCGCATACCCCGCAACTACGGATTCATGAGTAGTTGCCCCAATGCACGCGCACACGCGGGCAACTCCAAGGTCGCGGCGATTACCCAAAAATTCTAACTTTTGGTTAATTTTTAATAGTACCTACCTAACCTTAACATTAAGAAGGAAATCAGCGAAATTAGAGTCGCGTGACAATTACTATAAACGTAAAATAAAGTTACAGTACTTAAAGTTACAGTAAAAAAATGAAATGGATTAGGTATAGCAATTCTAGATTTTTATCAAACCTACCTGCCTATTTGTTAAGGTCTAAAATTGCATAACCAATAGCTAATTTATCTATATCTCAAAACTACATTTTGTAAACTATTTTTAACATACAAAGGTGAAACGAAAGTCATCTGACAATTTTCTAAAAATGTACCGAGGATATTGAAACATTATTTAACCAGTTATCTGGCCTATTTAACTGTCTAGCTTTTACGCGAAAAAAATAAACACGTAATACGCCTGATCTTTTTTTAAATTTAAGAAAGAAAAGTCACCCTCTTGATCTAAATAATCTTGTTCATCGTTGCTTCGTTGTCAAGAGTCTGCTTCACTACCTTTTTATCTTATTATAAGATACTCCATAACTTATGTGTCACATTTAAGTCATGCTTTGGCACGAATGGACCAGCTCGACCGGAGTAAAACCACGGCCTCAATGAAACAACAATCATAAGAAGAAGGTACCTAATAACTCAGAAAAAGACACATTGGTGTTCGCCAGGTTTCGAATCCACGGAGAGTTGATCTCCGGCCACCGTAAGCGCGTGTCTGTTGACGGCGAGTAAGGGTTGCTCGACCAGAACCAGACCCGAGCGTACGGAGCGTAGTGTTCCGCGCGCGCCTTAAAGAGCCAATAGACCACCATAGACGAGACCCTATAGGGCTGATGTTCAGCCGGGGTTGCGGGGCAAGCGCAATGAGTCACCGCGGCCTCGGCCCAGAGCAGGAGAAGGAACGGGGGGGTTTTAGTAATTATAGTCTGACATTCTCTCTCGCCTTACCCTGGGCGGGAGAAGTCATTTGATAGTCCTTAGCCTCAGGGCCAATTACGGCGGTATAATGAAAACCATAGTTTTCCATATTATTCTTATATTTTACAAACCTATGTAGTGTTATACTATACAAAACAAATATGGCTAGTTTTTTTCATTTTCTAAGCAAAAAGATAACATTGTTACGTTCTGATTAAATTGGGTTCCTTACCTATGTAAATAGGTAATTTTCTGATATAGTTTTAGATACAATCTTTATTTTCTCAAAGATAAAATCTCATGAATACAATCTGTTTTTAGAAATGTGAAATGAAAATTATCAGGTATACATATGTATATATTATAAATGAGAAAGATTTTAGTGCAGGGAGCTTAGAAAGTAGTTTAGTTCTAGCTTTTTCTGTAGTTAGTAGTTAGTGTAAAAGTAGCGACATGCAATGGTTTTTATTTGTTCAAAATTCTCAAAATGATAAGGCATTTGAAGATTGAGGATGAAGGGAAGAATTGGGCCTCCAAATACATACATATCTACTAATATTATCTTAATCATATTTGTTTTATAAAAAAATATTTAATTAGATACTTTTTTTACTGTTTTATTATAAGACCACCTAACTCTAAGAAAATAAAATGACTCCGTACAAAAATCTGCAAAAGGATATAAAACATAATATAAATGAACAACGAGCAGTTTACTGAACCCATATCAATGCCACAAGTATAAATAATGTCTTCGTAAAATGCAAACAATTCACACATCGGGTTAGAAACGGTTTTCCCTATTATCTACTTATTCTAAACCCCTGTTACAATAGTTTGAGCCAATATGTGTGTAACATAATATTGCTCTTGTTTTTCCTAAAGGGGCTTACGGAAATACTTTTTGCAACATTCTATCGGGTATATTGTTGCCGATGTTATCGTTTAGTTTCGTCGATAGTGATCATATTCTAGATAAACTAGAACAAGATTCCCTGATTGATCGTCAAGTCAGGTTAAGTGCCAAATTGGACAAGGATTCCGTGTATAACAATATTTGTAACACTATACTTATTATAATGATGGCTCAGTATAACAAATGGTTAATAATACGATCGGATAGAAAGTATTAAACAAAACCATCTTCAAAAAGTTGTCTGAAGCCGCGCTATAGTCGCGATACCTACTCGTTCCACTAGTGAATTCATAACTTTTTATGTGATACATAAGTCGGCCAACGAGCATGTGGTTTCCTGATGTGAAGAAATCACCGCCACCCATGGATACTTACTTACAACACCAAAAGTGTTGCAAGAGCATTACCGACATTTTGGGGATTGAGGCATTGGGGAGGGAGGTTGAAAGGGAAAGAATGAATCTCGCTTACAAGGCGAAACAAGACACTGCGAATGTTACACGCCAGTTTTCTGTGAAGCCATGGTATCACTCCGGTCAAGCTCTCCCACACTTCATCTAAAAACCTAAATATCGACAGTACGCTGAAATCGAATAGAAGCCGAACTAACTTCACAACACTCAGCAACAAAAGGAAAGTACTTCTGTAGCGAAATAAATCAAGTTTGGAAAACTTAGCACAAAGCAATACGGTTCAGAATGGTTTGTCAGAAAATATCACGTTCAAAAAGTTTGTATATCGAGGTCCACCAAGAAAACTGAGATCAAGATTGGAAAGAGATTTCTCTGTGAATGGAAACAATTTTAATAATATTCCATGTCCATAATAGCTACTAGAACTGAATAAATTTAACAAAAGCTACTATCAATAAAAAAAACATAGTTTTCGTGTATAGCAATAGGTACCATGAACATAGAATGTATTTATAATACTCATAAGAATATAAAAAAAATAGTCTAATAAATATTTTTTTATTAAATTCAAAGTCAAATACTCAAAAGCAGATTGGAATGAAAAGTACCTGTGTGTGTGTGCAAAGATGAAATAAATGAAAATAGTAATAGCGCCTGATTTTTCTTTTATAGCAACGCGTCTTCAAAAAGTGTATACCTCATTATTTTTTGACAGGGTACATTTTTAGTTTTTGATCAATGATTATAATTTAATTTGAAAAGCTTTGATTAACACATTAGCCTTTTGGGTAGATCCACTAAATGATGGATCATTAAGTTTTAACCATACAAAATGATTGACGACTATGATGACTAGTCAAACTGTAATTTTCTCTTTGGCGTAGATAAATCAATTGATATGAATTATGTGGCATCAGTAGTCACTAATGAGGGATGAGTGTTGGAATACATTTAGAAACTAACATTTTATAAAATATACCTTATGAAATTAATACTTAGGTGTTAAAATTGTCTAAAACACGAGTTACCATAAGTTCAACTTACGTCTTAATAGCTCAGCCAGGGCTGCGGGTGAAGCGCAATAAGGAGTTGCGACCTCGGCCTGGAGCAAGAGAAAGAAAGGGGGGTATAGTCAGTAAGAGTCCGACACTCCCTCTCGTTTTACCCTGGGCGATAGAAGTCATTTAATGTTTTCCACCTTAAAGAAAAGGTCGTATAGCAGTCTTTAATAATAATAATTTTAAAAAATTAGACACGTTTTCTTTTCTTTTCTCAATATTTTTTTTTAAGATTTATCTATATCTAGTGACATCATTATTTTTTACTCGGAGCAATAACGTAATGAACTACAAAAATTGTTCTTTTAAACGACAGCATAAAGAAAACATGACGAAATATTTTTTTATTACCTACCTAGCTGATGAAGGAATTCGAATTTTGTTTTTTTCAACCCCTGACGTCCCTATTTATACTTGAATGACTAAACGCGTAGAAATAAAAATACACTAGAAACTATTTAAGCCTAAAATAAAAATGAACCTAAGTATGTGCGATTTAAGGTATAAGTTACTTATACATTTTTTAAATCTCTTTACCGTACTCTTGGCTCCTTTGTAACTTGAAAGGTAGGTAAAGTTTTTCAAATCTAATTTGAAAAGGTTTTTCGTGTCAAAACTTGAACTGTATTTACTTAGCAGGTAACTCAAATACTCAAAGTACAAGATTCAAGTCGCAACCTTTCTTCTACCACTTGTACGAAATCAAAGTTAGGTTTTTGAGAGTTTTTAAAGTAGATAAGTGTGTATGTTAATGATTTTAAAGCTATTTTTCTTGTATAAGAAACTTCTTTTTTCTCGATTTTTATGTATGAGAATGAATGTGCGTGATGTGTTGTCATTTCCCATTCTTTCTTTAATCTCCATTTTCCCGATCCTCAAGACTCTAACAAGTGACAACCCTTTTTTTGTGAGGGGTAAATCATCAAATGACTTCTCCCGTCCAGGGTGGGGCGGGAGGGAGTGTCAGTCTCTTGTTGACTAAAAACCCCCGTTCCTTCTCCTGCTCTAGGCCGAGGTCGCGGTGCCTCATTGCGCTTACCCCGCAACCCCGGCTGAACATAAGCCCTATACCCCCGCCTGTGGGGGTCTATTACCTCTTTGAGGCGCGGGTGGAACGCTACGCGTCATACGCTCGGGTCTGGTTCTGGTCGGGCGGCGAGTTACCCTTTCTCGACATCCGCATACATCGCCGCCATACCGTATTAAAGCGTGAATCTTTCGAGCGATCTTTAACACGTTATGGTAGGCCCTCTGTCCTGTATAGTTGCGGATGCCGCCATGGGCGCCTAATGCTAAGCGAAGATTGCCGATTCATATTCTCATTTAAATATAAAATCATTCAGTATTCAAAAACAGTAAGATAAAGACAAAAATACATCTAATTTAAAACGAAAAGCTTTCCAATATTGTATGAGTAGCCTGATGGCCTCACAGCCTGGTAGGTACCCTGTATTGTAGTGCTACTCACCGTCCTAATTTCCCAGCGGACGCATTCGATTCGTCCAACTTACTGTCAATGGCAACTTCTCAAAGTTAATATTTACGAAATACGAAATAGATTTTGTATTCTGTCGTCGGACGAGAGCATAATAGCTCAGTAGGTTAGCAGCTTTGTTTTATAATTTAAAAGGTACCTAAGTAAGCCCTACCTATATCTTTGGTCTGAACGGGATAAAATTCGAACCATACTCGTCTCTAATAAACGCTTGCACCCATATTTTTTTGAGAGAAATACTTTTATTTTGTTTAAAATACCCCACACTAGGATTTTCTCCTGTGTCGTGGCGGTTACAAACATACAATTTCACATACACATGACACCTCAACAACATTTTGTGGATCACACAAAGAGTTGTTTGATGCGGGAATCGAACCCGCGACAGGTTCCAAGGCAAGCAGTTGCCCAGCCACCGCACCAAACATGCAGTCAATATACAAAAGACTTGCTCCTGTTTTTTTTGAGGGAGAAAGATCATGCTTCAACTGTGTCATCCATCATCTATTGATCAATAGTGTCAGACTCTTGCTGGCTTAAATCTACCCCGTTCCTTTTCCTACACTAGGCCGAGGCCGCGGTTTCTTATTGGACTGATTAAGGCAAAACGGACGAAGTTCCAAATTCTTTCGCAGAAACTTATTGCGCTTAGCCCCGGCTGGGAAATCTGAATCTATGGATCTCCAAAAACTTAGGTCTTTGCCCGTCCTGGGGACCCGCAAAATCTTGCTAGGTAGCCATGTCCTCAACCAGATACTTAGTATATGTTTGATTGATGATAATAATTATGTAAGGGTCACTAATTACTTAATTTAATAGGTATTCTCGAGGGGTTTCATCCCCGCTTCTCGGCTCCGTTAGATCGTAGCGTAATGTTTTATAGCCTATAGCACTCAGGCACATTTTAGCTATCTATCAAAATGAAATAATTTTAGCAATCCGACCAGCGGTTCCAAAGATTACAACACACAAATACCTCTTTATATATTAGTATAGATTACTTATAGGTAGGTAATCATTAACATTATACTGGATGTTATGAAAACAATACTTTTTCTCGTTTCTTGAAGTTTCGAAGGTTGTATCTGTTCTGAAATACCGCCGCTGTTAGATGATTTAAAGTTTTTACTGTGCAAGCAGAAAGTTTCCCGAAAATCGCACAGTTATTGAATGTCAACCATTTTCGTATACGATGTTGAAATATAACCGTGTCGGTCTGATGGCAAAAAGACAAATTTACCTACCTACAGTCTAATTAGTTCTATTGTTAATAAATATTCTCTATTATTATGCTAACTTTGATACGTTAACGTTAATACGGAGAGTTATATACAAAACAGTTGAGGTGTAAATAACTCGCTTCCTATACTTATACATTGTAATTCAATAGTTTGGGAACTAAACGAGACAGGCGTGGTAACTTTGGGCGGATAAAGTTTAGAGCAACGCCATCTATCGACAAAGCCGATTATTAATTAATAATGGGTTTCGTGGGATTCGTGATTTTATAAGGTAATTATCTAGGAATCTTGTTAGGAGATGAGTAGATAAACATGAAAAGTTTCATTAAGTACTTATACATATAGATAAGTTTGGTCGGTTCGGGTTTTGTAGCACATTTTTTGAAAAAGAGGACAAACGAGTAACCTTATTTCTTAGTGACGTTACCGGGATGAGCCCTCTGATTGGTTGAAAAATTTTAAGCTGGCCAATGAGAGCGCCGTACGTCATAAAAATGTCTATACACTTTGGTCATCTAAAGGTAACCAATCAGTGCCGTCCTTGATAATGTAGACTAGAATGAACTAAAATAATTGTTTTGGGAAATATTAAACCTAGCTATGTTCTTCCGTTGAACAAATAACCAATAAGTTTCAATCGTCATCATAGAGTACCTATATACATCATTCCCTTAAATCAATGTTTTCTGAAGCAGTATGGCCTGGATTTCACTTAGGTCCGAGTTAATGAGTAGTTTATAAGTAAGCGTGCTTTATCGTAAGCATATAGCATCCTACCATCATACAGGAAAGAAACTGAAAAAAAAAACGATAACAGTATTACTGAACGGTATCAAATTGACAGCTGGTTGTTATAGCGATACTGATAAATATGTGAACTTATTGATAAAACCATCATGTCACATCTTATGCTTCATTCCCTTTTTTGTGGAGTGAAAATCATCAAATGACTCCTCTCGTATGGCGAGAGGGAGTGTCAGACTCTTACTGACTAAAAACCAAATCGGTCCTTCTCCTGCTCCAGGCCGGGGTAAGCGCAATGAGGCACCGCGACCTCAGCCCAGAGCAGGAGAAGGAACGGGGGGGTTTTTAGTCAGTAAGAGTCTGACACTCTCTCTCACCTTACCCTGGGCGGGAGAAGTCATTGGATGATTTTCCCCTGACAAAAAAAAGGCCGAGGTTGCGGTGCCGCTGCGTTTGATCCACGGTCCCGGCTGAGGTCTGAAGTCCAGACAAGTCTAGGAGACCCATGCTTAGGCTCGATGAAATTGGCTCGAGTGTAATTACCACGGACTCACAGGAAGTCAGCGTGAAATACTTAACGCTTGCTTTGTGTTATACAATGTGAGTGAGGTTACAGACATAATCCTATACAATCATCAAATCTACCTCAACTTCTCAAATCTTTAACATTCAAAACGCCGGCCACGGACATACAAGGTCTCTGATATAGTTGTCCATTTGCAGTGCGGATTGTTTACCATCAGGTAATAAATTGACTAAAAATCGCGGTTTGTTCACGTGTATAAATTGAGAAACGGATTTTATGGAAAATTGGACGCGGCGACGTCGCGCAGCCTACTGACGTCCGCGCACGCTGCTCATCAGGAAAAACCCCTCTGTGGTTCGAAACTAGTCGAGCTTTTCGACCCGCGATTTTTAGTTAATTTAGTATGTCTCACGATAGTTATTATAAAAACATCAGGTAATACATCGGCTTATTTGCGCCCTATACCAAAAAAAAGATATCAAAAAATTTTTAACCGGGTTGAGAAAGTACGAGTTATGTATTTTATTACTTGTAGGCATTAAGGAGCTCTTCCCTTTACTAAAGAGCCCTATCTCGTGACTGCTTTACGACATTAAATAATAATCTGCAATGAGCATAATGTATGAAACAATTCATAGTTACACCAAACACTTATAATTTAACCTAACTAGGAAATCGCAGTGTTTATTGTATAACTTTGACCTGCTGTAGTTTACAGTTGTAATTTTATACGCAGCACATCAAACTATACTGAAATATTAAGAAAAATTCAACTTTAAGTCGTCACGCATAGAGGTGTAAATCTATTTAAGATTTTTGAATTATTGGTGTATCTTGTAGTGCTGGTTTATTATACAGGGTGTGAGCATTGCCATGATAATTGCCATAATTACCACACCTATGAGGGTTCTCGTAAAGAATCATAAGCTATCATTATGTACATAAATGCTTGTATTAAAAGCTACTTATCTATGACTTAGTTGCGAAGTTTTACAAGGGTTGATGTATACAACGTGGTTACGCGATGACGCATTATATTTCTCATTCTATGTACCTAATACAAACGGTTAACGAAAATTTTATGCAGATTTTTCAATAATCAGATAAATGTTATCTGTCGAATAAAATTGTTGCCGTCACTGTCTTATACAAACATTCTGACGCGACAGCATCATAATTATTCCACAGGTTTTTATCAAACCGTTGAAAAATCAGCTTCTCTTTCACTGCTTGCGCCACCCAGGGCTAGGATATTACTTACTTATTATACTTAGAGCTATTTAATGAATCTCTCACATTAGGAAAAAAACCATGTAGGTATATTTTTATGCTCTTTTATTTATCCAAACATATACTACCACAACAAAACCAGAGAAAACAACTATATGTATAAAGAAAAATATCATAGAATACGGTCATGCTTCTAGGTGAAAGCAATACTTGGTACATTGTGCTATCAACAATGCATCACAATTCTATAGAGCCGTCAAATATTGAATTTACAATAAGACCCAGCAGAATGGGACGAATTTTATTAAATATCCTACTTTAAGAGCTGTTTTGAACGACGAAAGCTGTTTTTCAAGGTCAACTGTTTATGAGTTTTCTCAATAGGCCTCTTCTTCGATCTATTTTATTTGCCGTTTAAAGATTTATTTGAAAAAAATATTTATCGAAGTAAGTACATTTGATTAGGTGTTTTTTTTCCTTTTTTATTAAATATTTTTAATTATCGTATTGTTTGTGTAGGTATGTGTAATATGTGTATTATTGATTTTCGACTGCATGTTTGGCGGGCGTGTGTGGCGTCTTTGTGTGATCCACAAATTGTGGTTCCAGGTCTGGGTGTCATGTGTATGTGAAATTATATGTTTGTAAACGCACTCACAACACAGGAGTGACGCCCAGTGGGGAATAGCTTGAAAAAAAATAACGCACACCCTCAAATACCCCTGTTAGAATGTTATGTACCTACTAGCTACTCTCGCGCGGTTTCACCCACTGCTCGGCTCCATTTAATCGTAGCGTTATGTATTATTTAATAGCCTATAGCACTCAGGAATATTGTAGCTATCAATCAGTGAAAGACTTTTGGCAATCCGACCAGCGGTTCTAAAGATTACCGCCCACATACAAACTTACAAACATACCTCTTTATCATATTAGTATAGATAGTATGGATTCAGTAAACGATTCTGAACAAACTATTTTCAGTAAGTGCGTTTATTTAATGAATGTTTTCCCAGTAGTATAATGCAATTTAGTCATAGCTCTCAATTAAGTTTTCAAGTATCTATTTAATATAAAAACTCTTTGCTTCACTAGGTACTAATAGTAATGTTTCGCTCAATTAGTTCCCACGGCTCAAGTAGTTCACGGTAGCTTTAATTTTTATACACTGTCCTTGAAAAGTATTACAATAATTAGATAATAGATAAAAATAATGGCAATAACACGGCAATAATACTTTGCTCAGCTGTAAATTAGATGAGTCATTGCTTGTTAATAAGGAAGATTAAAGATAGAACTGTATTGCTTTGTAATAGGGTTAGTTTTTTATTGATTTAAGCTCGCGATGACATTTTTGTAACTCTTAAGGGCCAACCACGAAAACACCTGTAGAATTAATAATTTAATTTCTTGCCTTTCCATGATTGTGTTTTTCTAGAATAACATATAAGATACTCTTTGGTGGTTTTCTAATAGAATATATTTTTAATATTTTCTATGATTCTATCGTAGAACTATTTATCAAAAAGTAATAATAGGTACTTACCTATATTCATCTTCACCGTCACGCTCATGCTTGGATTATGAATAAATATTGTTTGCACTTCCAATCTTCAGAAGATTCCCTGAAATATAATAATGACGTCACCAAAGTTTCAAATCAATTTAAACGACGGACGAAAAAAAAAATGGCCATCAATAGGTACTATTTTGATAACAGTCCTAGTTTACCTTTAGATAACAACTTACAGTATACAGAACAAATTTTACGACAACCACACAGCAATATAACATCCATTATCAAACTCAAAGTTCAACCAATGTCTAACAAAAATCCCAATCCCAAAGTACGACTCAATTTCTTAACGTACAAGGTACATGATAATTTCCTTTGTTTACAAAAATGTCAAAGTGCACTGGAGCAAAACATTGAAATGCTAAGACGTTGCAACCTATGATTAGCACGGCAAATTGATACTTATCGACACTGCATAAGTACCAAAGTTATATGTAAGTACTTGTCGATAATACGTGGTTGCCACTTTACTATGAGTAATAAGTTAGGGTGCGAGGCGTTGTTAGCGGCCAAGCGAAGTTTAAACTGATGAGGTCACGATCCCCAGTGAATCGATTAAGGGTGATTTTAAAATACGTTACAAGCTTTTACATTCAAAATTAGAATGGAAGTGTATAGGTTATATAAGTGTGGGAGAGTTTTGGCACGAATGGGTCAGCTAGACTAGAGTGATAAAATGGCCTCACAGAAAATCGGCGTGAGACAACCACATCATTATGCTTGGCCGTGTGAGTGAGGTTACCGAAAACCCAATCTTTCCCCTTTCTTGGAGATTTAGGGGTTGACCTTAAATGCCCAGAACCCTAATCTCTAAATGGTCGGCAATGCACTCGTAACACCTTAGTTTACGTTAACATGCGCTGATTGCTTACAATCAGGTAATCCGCAAGATCGCTTGCCGTCGTCGCCGCTCGTCTTATCGTATCACATAAAAAAGAAAATATTAACTTAATCAATATAATAATAACTATTCGTTTAAATCATGGTGTTGTTTTGAACTTAGCCTTCTCGTTTACGTATAAGGATGTTAAGAGTCGACTATCCAAACTAATATTATATTATAAATACGAAAGTAACTCTCTCTGTCTGTATTTTCTTCACGCGTTAACTACTGAATTGATTTCTGGGAAATTTGGTACAGACATAGTTTGGAACTCAAGAAAGGACATAGGATAGTTTTTATACCAAAAATCTACAGGCAGTCATTTTTCCACGCGAAGGAGTCGCGGGCAAAAGCTAATTTCTAATAACTCATTTGGCAAAGATTGGGCTACAAAGTTCCATAATAAACCTAAACCTGTTACACTGTGATCTCCAACCTTCCTGTTAAGCGATTTGAAAAAAACTTACATGTGACATGATCCTACAGTATGTATTATAATGGATTGTCGATGTTAAAAAAAGTTTCAAAGCCGACAAAAAGTGTTGATGACAAGTAATCGTATTTTTTTTGTCTTATTTACAATAGTACGCCAGTAGGTCACACGATATTTTAAATCAATATTACAGTCAAAAGTATTTGATTTCGGAAGACATTAAATATTCCTAATTATCTTTTCAGTGAAATTTATCTATTTTACTATAAATGCGCAAGTTATGATGTTTGGAGGTTTGTTACTCAATCACGCCAAAACGGCGGGACGGATCTGGATGAAATTTGGCACAGGAATAGATTATACTCTGGAATAGGACCTAAGCTATTTTGTATCAACAAAACACGCGGGCGAAGCCGCGTGCGGAAGCTAGTAAGACAGATAAAATAAGAATTATTTATGTCAGAAAAGAATCCACATAGGAAAATGATTTATTAATAAAAAAACCAATATCGACAAGTAAGTAATAAACAGGAAATTTTCTTGAACATTTTCTAAGCATTTAAAACTGCTTCTAATTAAATTCTTACCCCGAAGAGGACTTATACACAAACGCTATAAAATTGAGCCGAACGAACAATGAAAGCGAAGGTTTCTTAAACCTTTGTTTAAATTAATTGCAAATTTTCCACCTCATTCTTTAGGAAAAAATAAATAATCAATCCTCAATTAAAACAAGGGTAATGAAAGTAGGAAATTAATCGTTTTTTGTTCTGTTTCTGTGTTAAATAAAGGTTTTTAATGTATAATAAGTTTAACTTAAGTATAGAGCCTTCTTTTAACAAGAAGGGAACGGCTTGATTGTAGTGATGTCTTAACAGAAAACTGACGTGAAATAACCATATTATGTTTAGCATGAATGTAATCACCAGATCCCTGATCTTACCTTCACAATCACATTTCCCTATCTTCAAATCTTTGTAACTCCTCAATTGTTTATGAGCCCATGGGTGATGTCGATTGCTTACCATCAGGTCTTTTAATCTGTTACCGGTCTTTTGTGAGTTGTTAGGCATAAAAGGATTCCACACGGGCCTCCGCTAACCTCGCTCACCCGGCGAAACCCTATGCAAGTTTTGTTTCACGCGTGTACGTACTCTGTAAGGCTGTGGTATCACACTGGTCGAGCCATTTTACACACATATAATATTATAAAGAGGTAAAATTTTTAAGTTTGTATGTAGCGAGTAATCTTTAGAACCGCTAGTCGGATTGCCAAAATTCTTTTACTGATAGATAGCTACAATATTCTTGAGTGCTATAGGCTATAAAATATCACGCTACGATGAAATGTAGCCGAGCAGCGGGTGAAGCCGCACGAGAGTTGGTTGTTTTGGATAAAATACTTATGTTTATAGATAGGTATATACAGTTAGACAAAATTGAATTTTAATCTGACATTGTTAGACAAATAAATAACATTTATAATTAAGATTTTTTGGCCAACCCGGAATCTAGGTACTCAAATTAAATAAAGCACAGCTGCAAACAAGGACTTTCAAATAGTCCTTGATACTAAATGTTCCTACAATCTAGACATCTAGCTGTTTAGCCAACTATAAGTACTAGGAAATAGTGTCTGTTCCGATTTCTGCTTTCTGATATCAATTTTGTTTTGTCTAGACTTAGTTCTATCTATCTCATTGGTAGGTATAATGTTAAGCAGGTTGGAAGGTGAAGTATTTTATCTTTGGCACCGGTCATAAAAATTTAAGTACCTATGCAATAATTATGCTTTAGCACTGGAGTGATACCACGGACTCACACAAAACCGGTGTGAAACATCTCCTTTCTTCAATGCTTAAATCCCCAACTACTACCTAATCTGCAATTAGGCCGGCCACGCCCTTGTAATTCCTCTGATTGTTGGATGTCCGGGCGGCGCTAATTGCTTACCATCAGCCGTTGTTTTCACCACTACTACCTTGTTTGTTCGGTTTTTCGTGTTCATATGCCAGGTTCGGCAAATAACTATTTACAAATGTTCTCCTGGATCCTCGTAATGCCAGAAGTGTAACGGGTTCAAACAAATTTAATGCTATGTTGTGAAAATATTACAAACTAGCTTTTGCCCGCGACTTTGTTCGCGTGGAATGGTGACTTCCTGCAGATTTATGGTTAAAAAACTATCCTATGTCTATGTCCTTTCTCGAGTTTCAAACTATGTCTGTACCAAATTTCACAGAAATCAGTTCAGTAGTTTACGCGTAAAGAAAAGACAGATAGACAGAGTTACTTTCGCATTTAGGTATAATATAAGTATAGAAGTTTAGACTATTAGAATTCTTAACAATATATTGTCAGTGTTTTCAATCTTGATTAACCGTTTACAGTAACTAAATATTAAGTACTTATTATATTAATCACACGATTCGAACGAGGAAACCAATATCATCACGATTGTGTTCAATAAAAATAGATTGGAAGTACAAATGCTATTATTATTTTACAGGATCTACGAGCATTATCTGTAAAGAGCATCTGCGAATTTTATTATTAAGTGTATTATTTCTTTTTAGTATACCCCTTAAAGCTTTGTCTGTGCTACCTACTTAGACTTTAACTACCACTATGCCTGAACAAAATCAGCATGACACCTATTTCTCATCAGTAATGTCGCACTTGTAACGATGAACGTAAAAGACTAAATTTAGGAGTGGAAGAGCCATACTTCGGCACGAATAGGTCGGCTCGACCTATGAATACCACGAATATACACAAACAATACTACGAATACCACGGCGTTACAGAAAATCGGCGTGAAAGAATGATTGTGTTGTGTTTCGCCATGCGACTGAGGATACCAGAGGCCCAATCCCTCTTCTATCCCAAACTTCTCAAATATTTAATCCCCTACATAAGGTCACAGACTTGTAACTCATTTAATATTGTTAATGTCCATGTAAGTACAGATAACTTACAATCAGGTGGACTGTATGCTCGTTTGACGAGAAATTCTTATCATCACCATAAGCCGCGCGGGTCTGCGGACGGCGAGTAAGAGTAGCTCGCCGCCCGACCAGAACCAGACCCGAGCGTTTGGCGCGTAGCGTTCCGCGCGTGCTTTAAAGAGCCAATAGCCACACCACAGACGGGGCCCTATAGGGCTGATGTTCAGCCGGGGTTGTTAGTTAAGGGCATTGAGTAATCGCGGCCTCGGCCCAGAGCAGGAGAAGGAAAGGGGGGGGGGGGTTAGTCAGTAAGAGTCTGACACTCTCTCTCGCCTACCCTGGGCGGGAGCACTCATTTGATGATTTTCCTCAGACAAAAAAAAGCTTGATCATCCCCTTTCCATCCTCAATCCACAAATCTCTCACTCCCTGATAGCCATCGACGCACCATCAAAAACAACGGCGCTTATTCCTTATACCATAAGATAACCAGTCTAATCGCTGCCGAGTCACCAATCTCATTGAAATTGACAGTAAAAAGTGGCAAAATCAAAAAGCACACAGTGAAAGGCAGACAAAAGTAATTCCCGAAAATTATTTTTTTAAATAAAACTATTTTACAGCTTTCAACTGAACAAAGCGTATGAACGTTATATCCGGGTTTTTGAGTTCATTTTACACTCCCATCCGGTGTTAGTTGTCCCAGAAAATATTGTATTGTACCTCTTGACTGA